ATACCCATCTATATCTCTGTATGTATCTTTCTATGTCTGTGTGTGTATACATATATATAAACATGCATGTATTCGTGTATACATATGTGTACATATGTGTGTGTACATAATAATATGAATTTATATTGATAACTTGGATTCTAATCCACAGGGCTCATTTTAACCTTTCCCCTTTCCTTACTTGTAACTTCTTTCTCCAACACTGAGAAACCCGGTTGTGATTACCTACAACCTATTCACTTATTATTAAATGTTCTAGTAAACATTTAATGAGATACACATTTCTAAACAGAAGACAGCATTTGAATGGTTCTTTTTGTCTTTAGCCTGACAATTATCTAATCAAGGTAACTGTTTTCCATAGTTACTTGAGTCAATTCTTTTCATCCCCTTTTTTTAGTGTATTTATGGTATTCACTTGTCAGTGTTTGTTAATGTTAGTGTTTATAAGCTCCCCCTATATCCTAGTTAGTTTTGCTTGTTTATTTTTTAGGGCATATGAAAAGTATATTGAAATATTACTATGTTTTAATAAGAAGGGCCATATGAAAATATAGACTGAGAGATGTTATTAGCCTTTTGAAACTCAGTTCTTGGTACAGTGTTGGCAATTCAATCACTATTTATTGAATAAAAGATCTTATTTATATGTAAATGCAAAATTGTGATAAACTAAAAGTCTAGTTACAATGGTATTTGAAGCTAAAATGATGGCATTGGGGAAAAAAAACATGGCTGGGAAAGAAAAAAATTTAGAAAAAAAATTAACAGAATCAAACAAAATCAGGGGAAAAAAATAGCCTCAGATTCTCGCTTTGACTTTTTTGACTAAATCCTATACCTTTTCAATCAGTACTTATAAGGATTTTCACACAAATTTGAGAAATATCAACTTTGTCAAAGATATCTCAAAAACTGGGTTATGCCCATATCAGAGTTTAAGTTAGCTAGAAAGCCATGTTATCCATAATGTTATTTTCATATTTTAATGTACTTTTTATTTCTATAGAATCTGAGATGTCTTCTTTCCATTTCCTCTGTCTCAGAAGGAATTTAAAGAACTTTCCATCAAAAGAACATTTAATTATTTCACATTATAAATCCGCATCTTTCCTCTAAGTAAATTCCATAATAGGCCACAACTAATTTAAATTTCCTGTTCAAAATGGGGGTGGGGTTGGAGGACTAGGGGAAGGTTTCACCTCCTTCTGTTATTAGTTGTTGTGCGATACCTTCCATTGTCATTTTTTGGGGGGGTCATGTTAAAAAAAAATAGTAAACATAAGGTTCTTCATAAAGCCTGTAAGCGTATTTTCTTTTTCAAAGTGGGGAGATGAGTGACAAGATACGTGACAGCAATAACAACCTAGACTATAGAAAGCGTTTTCTGAGCAGAATCTGAGTAAGATTCCTATCAGCTAGATTTCTCCAGCATGTTGTGTTCAGCCTGGCTGTTAGGCATCAAGTGGCCTTGATGTTGCAGATATTCCCACACATACTTTTTTGCTCGCAAACTAGAGTGTTCACCAAAACAGCACCTTTCCCCGAGTTCCTCACTGACACGTCTCCTTGGCCTTCATCCTCCTTTTTCCTGCCAAATTGTGCTTTCAGGAAAGAATCTGCATCAGGTTACTCCAACGTCCATGAATTAAAGCCCACAGGACAGGGAAAATGAGAAGGAAACCAGCATCTGGGGGCATATTCCAGGCCCTGTGCGAGGGGATCTCCATATATTCCTTTTTAAAAAATATTTTAAGCCTTATGTCTAAAATGAGAAACGGTGGGGATTTGACCGCCATGTTAAAAAAATTTTAGTGAGAAAGTTTAAAAAAATTATTTTAACAGATGGAGTCACCCGTCCTGTGAAAGGTGATGCTACTCTCCTCACCCCACTGGGAGGGTTGGGAGCAGCATCTACCTTTAACTTCTGCTCATCTCTTCCTCCTCCCTTGGGTAATCTAGCTCCTCACATACTAGATTCTGAATAGTATTAGCTGAAGATTAAGTTGTTTTTACTGACAATCAGAGCAGATTCTGTTCTCTGAGCTCATTTCACAAATATTTATGGAGCTCCTACTTCGTAAGTCTCATTTCCTCTAAAGGACGATTGGGAGAGGATGTACAGGATATAAAGCATCACCCCTATCTTCAAGAAGCTCACAGTCCTTGGATAAACACACACGGAGTGTAATTAGAGAATATGTGTGTGTCCGGAGGGGCGTCTCTATGCTTTCTAATCTCCGTCAGGTTCCAGGAGCCTCACGAATCCCGTGTGGCGTGTTCTGATATCCCTGTAACCTGCTGTAAACACATCTACTTTCTCTGGCTCTCAAACAATAATAAACATGGTGGGCGAGCGATAAATAACTCTATGGGGGCTGTTCTGTTTCCAGCTGGAAGGAGCCTCCTTATCCTTGTTAGTGCTGGGCCGGATTTAGGGGTTTAGGCTTGGTGTCACAGTACCTTTTCTCTCTCAGGATACACGATTTTTCCCCTAGCTCTTAGCTTGATTCACGCAGCAGGGTCTCTTTATTTGCCCTCTGGCCCCAACACAGGGTGAGTGGGAGGGAGTGTTGGTTTCTTGTCTTCCCAGCAGAGTTGAGAGAGATACCTGAGTACCTCATCCCGAGAACATCCCCATATCTCTGGATGTGTTTTCCCTGTGGGTGATGAATACAGAACAAGAGAAGGAGGCAATCAGGCTGACCACGTCCCCTGTGAACTTCCGCTCTCCTTCCCGGTCTCTGGAGTCCTGGGTGTGGGACAGGGTTGGCTCCATGTGCGTTTTCTCAGGAATTGCCCAGGACTTGATGAGAAAAGTGACTTCTAACTCTACTCTTGGGCTCACCCTGGCCAGTTTAAGTGAAATGCGAGCTGTTCCAGCTGCTAAGAGACTTAGGTGTGTCATGTTTTCTGATGGGCTCTACGCTCCTGGCTGGTGTGGTTGAGGGCCTGGTCTCCTGGCCGGGGTAACCACAGAGTGGACAGTATTTGTCTGCTCAAGCACACACAACATTTCCTCACCCTGATGAGGTAATTGCAGAGAGACCTCTGACGAGGAAGACAGTATCTCTTGCTGTCAGGTTTCTTTGCACGTGTCTCAAAATCTAGAAAAAGCTGAAGACAAAGAGAATTTCCTAGGAAGAGGAACCAGACCATAAATAGCTAAACTATTCTGGTTTTACAGAGAAATAAAACAGTTATGAGTTCTTTGACATACTTCCTCATCCCAAACCTAACGCTTTGGAACTCCTTGGATGAAATCTAAAAGATAGTAACCAGGAAGACAAAGCCAGTATTTCTATTTACTTTGTTGAATGTCCTGCAGAACTTGGGTAAAGATCCCACAGTTTTGTCTAGAGTTTCTAAATAGTAGCTGAGAAAAATGTCCGTAATGCTTTGGACTCTGCGGAGGGGGAGAAAGAAAGCAAGTTGCGGCCTATGTCTGTATGATTGCATGTGTATTTTTAGAGTATGGACATTGTATTTTTTAGGTATTTACAAGTCATGGGAGGATATTTACAAGTCATGTTGGTTACCTCAGGATGGGGGTAGTGGATTGGGGAGTAGAGAGGGTGGAGACAGCAAGGCTATTAATTTTGTTCCTTTATACACTTTATAGGTCTGTTCCAATGGTTACGATAAGCATTTACTTTTATGTTTATAATTAGGAAATACAGCATTTTGGTTTTTTTTTTTTAAAGATTTTATTTATTTATCTTAGAGAGAATGGGAGACAGAAAGCATGAGAGGGGGAGGATCAGAGGGAGAAGCAGACTCCCCGCCGAGCAGGGAGCCCGATGTGGGACCCGATCCCGGGACTCCAGGATCATGACCTGAGCCGAAGGCAGTCGCCCAACCAACTGAGCCACCCAGGCGCCCCAGCATTTTGTTTTAAAAAGTAGCTAGAAGGTTTGCTTGTGTGCTGGAGGCTGGGAGGAGGATAAGTCGGAGCCTTGCTCCTCAGGCAGGAGCATGCTGGGCCGCACCGAGCCCCTCCGGCCAGGCAGACACTGCCCAGTGGGCTCTTCTGCCACGAGTGGGAGGCTGAGGCTGGCTGTTGGCACCTTGCCTGCAGGAGCCTGCAGTTCTTCAGTCCCATCCTCTAGGACACATCAGTGTGGTGATCCATCAAGGATCAGGCTAGACTCACGACTGGAGGGAGAATCTCGAAACCCAATGAGCTGATAATCGGGGGGCACTGCCGTGGGGCCTAGAATCTCACACTGTGTTCAGTTACAGCCAGAACTGAGCGGTCACCCTGGGGGCCAGAGCGCGTGCCGAAGCTTTGCAAACATTTTGTTTCATCTACCCCATGCCTCCTGTGCTGTTGGTACTGTTATTACCCATCTTACGGATGAAAAACGAAAGTTCAGAAAGCCGAGTCATTTCTCCAAGTTTGCTCAGCTTTCAACACAGGGCTACAGTGAAAATATAATTACAGTGGTATAATTGTAGTATTTGAGTATGTGTGTATACAGCTATTTATTATACAGATATTTATACACTTATAGTATATGCTCGACAGCCTCCTAATTTTTCCAGCACTTTCTCACATCTGGGTAACCTGTAATCTACAGTTGTCTAAAAAGTAACAAACATACTGGATTTATTTCAAGCTTCCAAAGGGCCTGAGGTGTCAGAGACACTCACTGAATAGTAGTTTCGCTGTATTTATTTGTTGGACACAGTATTGACAGGACTCAGACGCCAAAGAGGTTGGAATAGAAGCATCCCAGGATGAAGCAGTTAGACGCAGGTCTGGCATTGGGAGAGCCTTGGTAGCACTTTATGTACAGAAAGTGTTCTAATTCTTCAGCCCACTCTTTCCTCATATCTCTCCCCTTTTCCTCTTCCTTTCCTTATAAAAACATCTGAGTTTGTGTTCTGGGATAAGAGAAAAATGCAGGTTCTACCCAATTTAGTTCTTCCTCTACTGATCTGATTAGAATAAACAAGAGCCTCCTAGGACTTGTAAAAAAAAAATCCTTACTCAGATCTTAGATGAATTATTGCTGAGAGGTTTTAATTGGCTGTGGTTGGCTTCTGACCTCTTGTACAGATTGATTTATGAGGTGAATTTGCAATCCACTGTTGGAAAAATTGATAGCATGGTAGCAGATAGAAGTTACTGTTTGAATAAGGCTTGGAAAATATTCATGCCGTCCCAGCCCCCACCGCAAACACCCAAGTTCATGTCCACAGGCAACATTTCCTAGGAGCGCTGATGGGCCCTAAGCTCGCCCTATGTGTTTGTTTTTAGAATCAGATAAAGGTTGCCATTTTGTAGTCTGCAGAGGGAAAAATAATAAAATGTGTAAGATAATCCATTTTCTTTTTCCCTACAGTTGTTCTTAAGGCTTCTGCAAGATTTTACCTATGAAGATTTCTCTTTTAACAGAAAAGTGATTTGTTTTGTTTTGGTGGGGGTTTTTTTGGCCACCATTTTATTATTTTGTGTGGTTCTTCAGAAGACACATGACTTCTACTTGTGAACGCATCCTAGGGATTTTGGGCAAGCTTAGCAGGTTCTCTCTGCTTGCTTCAGGAAGGAAGTCAGGTTTGGGGGGACTGCGTGGGGCAAAAGTGAGCACATGCCAAGTGGTAGAGGTTGGCTCCACTTCAACCGATGTATCTGGAACTGGATACCTTTAGAAAAATGGAAGACCTGTGCTCAGTGATATCTCTCTACTTCATATTACTTCTAGGATACAGGGCATAGTTCATATCTAACAAGTCATTCTTAGAAAATGGTTTCGAGGTAAGCAAAGCATTTCCTTGTATGAATTCTGATTTACATTGATCATCAGCCACTGACTATCTAGTTCCTGTCTCTTTTCTCTGAAGACCTTCTAAACCTTCCACGGCACTTTGCTAGGTGTAGAGCCAGGGCCTAATAATTTTATATTATCTTTGTTCATTTATTCATTCATTCAACAAGTCTTTCTTGAGCACCTACCACGAGTAGCCTCTGAGTAGGCACTTAGTGTACAACGGTGAGCAAAACAGATGTGGACCTTACCCTTACGAGGCTTACCTTCTGTAAGAAGGCAGACACTGAACAAGTAAAACACATAAATATGTCAATACAAATGATCACACATGAAAAGAAAAAGAATAGGATGCTGTGGGGGAGCATAAAAGGGGATGCTTACATTATGTGAGGTAGTCAAGGAAGAACTCCACTGAAGGGGTGACATTGCAGCTGAGACCTGAAGAAAGAAACCAACCATTAGAATGGGGAAAAGCATTCCTGGCAGAAGGGACAGCATGTGCAAAGTCCCTGCACAACACTAGGGCTGAGCATGTGCAGTCCAGGAGCTAAAAAGGGCCTGTGTGTGGGAAGCATAGTGAGCAATGCAGAGGGAGGGTGGATAGATGTTCAGAAGACCAGAGTCGTGTAGGGCTTTCCAGCCTAAGTTAAAAAATCTGGATTTTGTTGCACGAGGTGGGAAGACAGAACTTCACAAAGACACTGCCCTGAACCTCTGGTTGAGGAAGCCTTCTTGTCAACTTTGAGCCACATTAAATGAGGTCAGGTCTTTTCAGAAAATTCAGTGGATCTCTTTTAGTATTTTTTTCAACGCATACTATATAGCCTATGCTGGGATAACCTCTGTGTTCACCGAATGTATGATAGCGGTATCCTCCTGTTATCAAATATTCTTCTACAGCTTAATTTTTATTTATTTATTTATTTATTTATTTATTTTTTAAAGATTTTATTTATTTATTTGAGAGAGAG